GGGAGCAGTGCGGTGTAAACATGGCTCTGACCATCCCCCACTGTGACCCCCTTCTTTTCAGTTTCTTCTTCCTCTACTTCTTCTTGTTTTTTTTCCTCTTCTCGCCTCTCATGAGGCAGCGTGCTTGAGGGCCGCCGGGTTGGGGGGTCCCGATATACCCCCAAATTATCTTAACAATCATGGGCTTGTCTACCAAAATCGTTACCTGCGGCGGGTCGGTAACGTCGCGCCGGCATGAGGGGGTTGTGGTCCCAGGCCCCCTCAGGTCGTCATCGAGTGATGGGCCACGGGATGACCACCAAGCCGGCGCGTCTGCGGCGGGCGCGCCGGTGGTTAGGGTTACCGCCGTTGGAGCTTCGCCTCCAGGTCGCAGCCTTCGTGCTGTCTCGATTAGGCTGGTTAGGTGCGACGAAATGCCCACGCCGGGTCGAGTGAGGCAAAATACAGTAGGAATTGGTGTAGGGTCCGCGTCCGCGTCTGCGCCCACGTCCGCGCTCGCGAATGGTGATCGCTCGCTCGCGATGTCCCCTCAAATAGCTCCGGTCGTTTCCTCTTCATCGTTAAGGTCCATGGGCATTAGGGTTATGCAGCTGAACATGAGGCGTTCAGCTGTGGTTAGTGGCGAAGTCCGTCAGCTCGTAGCCGAGAAGCGACTGGACGTCCTGCTCTTGCAGGAAATGCACGTCCGGAAGCAAGGCTCGAGCTTCGCCATTCTCGGTTTAGGGCAGGGAACGAGGGTGGCCGCTGCACGCTCGGAACGTCCGTGGGCTGCAGTGGCAGTTTCAAACCCCTCGTTCCATATCATGGAGATCTCGCAGCTCAGCACCGCGCACTGTGCGTGCGCGGAAGTGCGGGCGCCCGGCTTCTCTTTCTACGTCGCATCGTGCTACTTCCAGTACAGCGACGAGATTGAGGGGCACCTCAGACACCTCGAGGCGGTGTTTCATTCGCTGAGGGGGAAGAGATTGTTGATAGGCATGGACGCCAACGCGCGATCCCCGATGTGGGGTGACCGCATGGTAAACGATAGGGGCGCGAAGCTCGAGGAATTCATCCGCGCTTGCGGATGGAAAATCCTCAACGCTCTCGGACAGTCGCCGACCTATTGGACGTCATGGGGATCGTCACATATTGACGTGACCCTGGCGACTCCGGCCATGAGCCAATTCTTCGGCGAATGGAAGGTCAGGTGCGACTGGACGACGAGCGACCACAGTGTCCTGGACATCCGTCTGAGGGTGCCGAGAGTCAGAGGCAATGACCGGCCTACCTCCAGCTCTCGGTTCGACGCGAGTCGTGCCGACTGGTAGAAGTACGCCGATAGCCTCATCGACCTTTCCGCATCGAGACTCGAGGTCCTCAGTTTGGGGTCCGCTGGGGGGGTGGAGGGCTTCGCGAAGTCCATTTCTCAAGTTTTGGTCGAAGCCTCGGAACGGGCAATGCCCAGGAAGAGGCGTTTTAGAAAGTCCAACCCGTGGTGGACAAGACAGTTGACGATCCTGAAGAAGGACGTCTATAGGGCGCGGCGTGCCTTCCAGCGGGAAAACGCTAAGCCGCTCCGTGCCTCCGGCCGAAGTGCCTACCTCTTTTCGCTGAGGAGGTACACGAGGGAGGTGCGGAAGGCGAAGCGCGACAGCTGGCGGAGATTCGTGACGGAGGTGGGAAACTCGGAGCCATGGGGATTCGTGTACAAACGCGAGGCCCGGAAGCTCCGAGTGGACGAAGTGCTCAGCAGCCTCCGCCGCGATGATGGCTCCTCGACCACCACCATAGAGGAGACCGCCAGGCACCTGCTGGAGGTGCACGTCCCTGA